GGATGAGGAGGAGAGTCAGTGTTTGAATCCATTTCTGAAATGCCAATAACTTCTAAGATATACTAGCCTGTAACTGCCTGTAATTCAGTGGATCATGGTAGGGAGACAAGTTTTTCGTGCTCACAAGGAAAGTGGCATGCGAGAGTATCAAGTATCTATTTTTAAAAGGTCAAAAGCCTCCAATATTTTTAAGAAAAATAGCTTTTCTTTTGTAACCTGTTTAAATCAATGGAGTCGCATTTTGCTGTCGCTGTAGTGGGAAATTTCCCAAAGGAGATTCCATACTAGCCCGTTTCTGATCAGAGCAAAATAAATAAGAGCTCAGGAGTCTCTTCTGCATCAAGACTGGTATCCCAGTGCTTAATTTTTTTGTTCAGACTTAGCAAGGGCTGTTCCCAGTGGGTTCACCCAGTGGATCCTGTCTGGGATCCACTGTTGTAGTACAGAGTTCCCAGGGAGGCCATTGGCACTGAGAAGTGGCACCTGATATCTTCAGTATCACTGGTCATTGTAGACATCAGTAGGGTGAACAAAGTTTTGAAGAATCAACAGCACATCAAAAAATGAACTCCCAAAAGCCAAAATGCGCATCAGTGGTGTATCACAGAGAGTATAAGGTGAGCAGATCATGGGTATAGCCAGTGCACATACCTCCTTTGGATCAGAACTTAATGAAAACTGCAATTGTTTGCAGGGAATGGGTCACACCCAACACTGCAAAGGAGGGCGATGTGGCTGGAGAGAGGGGAAATTCCCCTTTAAAGTAGTAAACTGTGTAGTAGTACTGTGTGCCATGTCTGTGTGTGAACAAACAAGCACTCAGAAGATCTTGATCCATGGGCCACTAGTCTGTCAACAGGGAGGTGAAATGCAGAAATCCATAAATCTTCCTGCAACTGCAAGCATCGTACAGCTGAGCTCATCAGTCAGGCACCCATTACCCTGTCATTGACTGCTCTGCTACTGATATTATAAGGTCATTGTGCTCGAGAGCCGATGTCACCACACACTGTGTAAGGGACTCCTGCTGTCATCTGCCTCTGAGCTGCCATGATTGCACTTCTTCTTACAGCAGTTTCCCATGTCGTGATCTGTGTTAAACCTCTTCCTCTCTAGATTCACAGCGTCACAGAACAGCCCATGTTGGAACACACCTCAGAAGACCATCAAGTCAAATCTTTTATGAGAAAAAGGAGCCCAGATGAGATTAACCAGTACCTTGTTCAACTGCATCTTGAAAACCTCCACCATATCCCTGGGGAGGGTGTCCCAGTGATGAGTTGTTCTCACTGTAAAAATTTCTTTTTTATATCAGAATGAAACCCAATTTGTACCCGTTGCCCCTTCACTTCTCCATGTGGCTCCTTATGAAGAGAGGGCCTCTGTTCCCTATAGCCACCATTTCAGTACTGCAATACTCTGATGAGGTTTCCCCCAAAGTCTTCTCTTCTGCAGGGTGAAAAGACCAATTCCGTCGGTCTTTCCTCAGAGGGCAGCTTCTCCAGTCCTATGATCACCCTTGTGGCCCTCTCCAATCTTTCTGCATCATTTTTGAATTGTGGGAGCCCAGACTAGATGCAGTGCTCTCGATGTGATCTAACAAGTACTGAAACTAAGTTTGAGCAGATGCTTAAGCGTTGTGCTGTACTGGGGGCTCAGTGTGTGCTTTGGGGGTTGGGAAGTGCTTGGTTTTATTTTTATAAGGAAATTGCTTCCGATTATCTTATGTAGCATCTATTCAAAGGCTTGCGTGTATTAGAAATTATTAATTTAGCTCAAATTGCTGTCTAGATTTGGTGTGATAGCTAGCACTAGAGCTAGTAGTAGTATAATTCATTACAGACAAACAATGTAATAACAGTCCCATCTTCTCTCGTGATGGCATATAATAAGATATGCATTATGAACAATCCTCTACGGATGTGTATTTATACGATAAGACAAATCTCATGCACAAATACTGGCCAGAACTCCCCTATTTCTGTTTGTAGTTCACACTGCAGGCATTATTTGCTCTCCTTTAGAGAGGATCTGATTCTGCTGAGTTGGTTATTTGGTGTTCTTTGGGTTTTTGATGAGCAGGGTATGCCTTTACCACTCTTTACCAAGAAATAAATTATTCTCAGAAATCATGCATCCAAACACAGAGCAGTGCTGCTCCTTGCTTGCAGAGTGTGACTGCTCTCCTAAACTGAGTTATTCTATATTTCTCCTTCTTACCTGAGTGACAGTTTATAACAGGTACATGTAGACCAGAAAGCAGAGAATAGCAATGGCCTTCTGTTAGAAAACTGCACTTCCATGCTGGGAAAAGGCTCAGAAGCCCGTTTCTTTCCTGAACAGCTTAAACCACAGAGTGTGATGATAAGTAATCTGTCACCAACAGGGTTTCCTGGGAGAACTTTAGCAGAAGATGCAGGGTTCATCAGGAGTTTCTTGTCATTATCTCTCAGCCCTGCAGCTCCCTGAGCAGAGACAACAGAGCCAAACACTAGGAGGGTTGCTGGCTTCTGCCTATGAGATGGGTGACCCCCCTGCTCCTAGTCAGAGGATCATAACCACAATGGCTGTAGCAGTGGGTTGCCTGAGATGGAACACAGCAAAATCATTCTCAATGGGTATATTTCATTTCCTTGTTTAAAAAAAAAAATTATTCATGTGCACATGAAGAGATATTCGTATGAAAATTAAGTCATTTCCCTAATTATCTACTTTAATCAGTTCTAAATCTCCCATTTTTTCTAACCAAAACAAAGCACAGAGCCCATCTCACACTCCTAGAAAGCCAGAACATCATCCTGACACAGAAATGTTCCATCCTAAGAGCTTGAAATACACCTTGAAGAAGGGTCATGTTATCCAAGTTGTTCCAATGTTAGCTAGCAGATTAGATCATAAAAAATCATTACCCCTGACAGCCCTATCTTTCATGAGAGGTCGCCACTGTACTCTGGTTTCTAAATAAACTTTTGTTTGCCTATATAAGGCCAACAAATTTGCAGCATTTAGTCCTGAGCCATTTTGTGGTGTGAAATCTCTTCTGACTAAATGGAATTTTTGGTACTAAATATTTGTGGTTTTTTTTCCTATGATTCTTTTTCCTGGAAAACTTATTTTCAGACTGTGAGAAATGACAAATATAAAGCTGGTGGTCCAAAAAAGAGCAGAAGCAAAACCAAATCTTAGAAAGTTGATACCTTTTGTGTCATTAAATCTTACAAACTATTGTCTTGCAAGTGAATTGTACTGTCAAATAAATACGGCATAGTGAATAGCGGCTTCTATTCTATACCTTATAGTACAAAAAGAAGAAAGAAAGTAGGAAAAGAGCAAAAAGTCAATCCACATTTTTCTGTGTATGTTTATGAGTGAATTCGCCGTGGTGCAGCACATCAAAGGTAACCCCAGATCCCTCCTCAGTAGTAAGGACCTTTGGGAGCCTGGGCTCTTATCCTAGCTCTCCTAGGGACTTGCTGCAAGAGACCAGAGCAAGTCACTGCTCGTTTAGTGCCTGTTTCCACTGCTTCCCTTTGTCTGCTTCAGTGGGAAGCTTTCCAGCACAGAATCCCTTACATTGGCTGTGTAATTTATATGGAGTGGAGGAAACCAATGAAAGCATTTTATTATTGCTCGTAGACAAAGAAGGATATTCCAGAGCAGAGATCAAGACTTCTTCTCTAAAAGCTGTGAGATGCAGAGGGGGAACTACTTGTTAAAGTAAAAAATGCCAAGCCACTAACTTGTTTTTCTAAAGCAGAAGAGGTCAGATGAGTAGCTTATCATTTTTTTTGCAAGGCTGTTGTCTTTAATCAGCAGGTGATTTTCCAGGTACAGTTCAGTTGTTACTCAAGAGAAAGTGGAATACTTTTTATATTACTTGCAGTAATCTTTGTGATTACTTTTTGAATGTCAACTCTGTACCCAGATGATTATAATATAATCCATTATTTTACCTCTGGCCCATTTGGATCTATTTGCAGCTATCATAATTTCTAAAGAATAAGCTACCTAAGAGCAAGGGATAACTACTTTACAATTGTTTATCCAAGGTTTCATTCCAAAGATGTCTGCAGCTATATCAGCAGAAAAATCCAATAGACCATCGCAGTTTCATCAAGTTATAGTTGCAGTCCAGTATCTACTTCCTATAGCTGATCTCAGGCTGGGAAATAGCATTGTTGCACCATTTTGAAAAATGGCCATGGTGAATCTTTTGGCATAATCATTTTTATTCCAACTTCAACGATTACTGCCAGCATAAGAGACGTAATCAGGATGGGTTGCATGGCAACAATTCCCTCTGACTTACCAGGGGAATTCTTGAACTCTGAATCATACTAAATAAAGCCTGTGCTATCTGTTTGCCACCCCACAGATTAAGGAAGAAAAGATATATGCCTCTGGACTAACAGGATGCATCTGGTGTGTTGATAACATCAAGCTGGCCATTTTTGTTCCACAACTCTGTGTCTACAAGAGGGTATTCATTGTACATAGAAGAGATCAAGCAGGGGGTTCCCCAGGATATGGAAGAGTTCTTGAAGTCTATGATCCTTTCCATTTGGATCTGTCCATTCTTGGCTGAATTTCAATTTCTGGAGTTTTCAAGTCAATACAAAAGCACATCCTGCAGCTTGAGGATGTGTCCTATTTCTTGAGAACTTTTTAGACTTGTTCTCTTTTCTAGATAACTTTCATCTCCTGCAAGTTAAAATCTTGCACTAAATTTCAATTGGTAATTAGTGATGTCAGAAATGCAGTAGGCAGTAGTGGCTTTGCCTCAGGAGGTGTACTGTTCTGAACTGCCTTAGTTTGCCTTTGGTGGCAGTTTGTAGGCATTTCTGAGGTATGTTTTCTTATCTGTTGTCCAGCTCATTTTTAAAACGGATCTGTAGTTTAGGAACCAGTTTCTTCTGGATTTTTTCGCTTTTCCATTGTCTGCCTCACCTTTTTACTGAAAGCATGGCTTGAAATATCTTGACTTTTTGATTATTTTTCAGAGAGATCTCACAGAATGATGCCTTGGAGATCATAGAAGCAAATGTGTTTTCCAGCCTTCCCAAACTACATGAAATGTAAGTAATAAGCAATCTAAATTCAAAGGAGACTATTATAGGTAAGTGTCAAAGACTTAGCAGTTTGGTTCAGGCAAGTTGTGAAGAATTTGTAGTGATACAGGAACACTGGAAACCTCACTTTATCTTTCCCATCATCTTAGCCAACTCTCCCATTCTTTCCCTTGTCAGCTTATAGCTTGTCCTCAAGCCACCACCAATATCAAGAGACAGTGGGGTTTACTGGTCTGTGGTTGGCTCCTCTTTGGAAGCAGTTATGCTCTCAGAAAAAAAAGAAAAAAAATCTCAATGTACAGTACCACTACATCCCTGGGTAACTACACATATTTTAGCATGCAACCACAGACATTTTAAGATCTATATGTTCACATATTTCCTCTGATGTTTCATTTTCCCATTGCAGAAGAATCGAGAAGGCCAACAACCTCATGAAGATTGATCAAGATGCCTTCCAGCAGCTTCCAAGCCTCAGATATTTGTAAGTCTTTTTGGTCTTTGAAAGCACTACAGTAATTTTAAATAATATGTATGAGTTTTTATCCTAGCTGTGCTGAGCACTTCACTAAGACAGGATAATGCTCACTCTTCCCTCACTAGTTGCCTACTAATGATCTACATTCTCATACTCAAGTCTGTATATTGTCTTAAGAAAAGTTGAAGGTACTGTTCTCTATGGGGAATCCATGGACATTCTACAGTGATCTCCAAACACAAAATCTTTGAGCTTTTCTAAGCAACATGTTGAAACTAAGTGATGAGAAAAGAATCAATGCCTTTATTTTATCAGTATAAAAGCAGATCTTGGTTGAAATTCCTCCTGAGAGCTTTAGGACAAAGTCTCATCTGTCTTTATCACAACTCTGCTTTCTGTTAAACTTTGTGCACGTGATCTTAAGCATTGAATTTTTTTTTCTTCAGCAATGATAGTGCTATAGCAGTGGTTTTCATTAACATTGATTGTGAGAAGATTAAAACCTTAGAATGCAAATGCACTGGTGTAAGCTGTACATTTATTTTATTAGCCACCTTCATCAAGACTGCAATTTGCACAACTGTGGTGCCATATCTGATCCCGTGGGGCTGCCATCATGATTCAGTGATAACTGAATCCATCCTTAAAGTAAACTACTCCTCAAAAATATTTTCACAGCTCTTAGTGCATTATCCTAACATGCCCAATGGTAGATCCTCTGCTATGTATTAAAACCCAAATGCAGTCCAATGAAATCTGTTTAGCAGTAATGTTTTTTAATGACCTTAGCTCCCAAAGTGCTCTTTGCTGAAAAATGGCATGTATACCAAGCAGGATATTTTCTTGATTTTTCTAATGTCCATCCTGCTGAGCACGTATACCCAACCCTCTTTTCTTTGTTCATATAATAAGCTTCACTGATCACAGTTTATTCATTTGAATACATTAGTGCTTTGTTTTCAGATTATCTGCTTCTTAAAGATGGGATGAAATCAGATCAGTGATCCAATAAACATGAGCGATTCTAGACTCCCAAAATCACTTGTGTCTGACAGGTTCTGGGCTCATAAATGCTAAGAGGTGTTGGTTTGAATTTTAGTTTTAAGATTCAAGATTTAACATTTGGACTTCAAGATATACTGTTTATTTAATGACATACAAGTTGCTAGAGTTTAAACCATCTATAAATCCGACTGTGTGATCAGATTTGCACTGCTGTCTCTCTACACAGTATTTCAACCAGTATTTGCTTCACCAAATTCATAAGGCACTTTGACACACTTTCATTTTTGTATGCGTGTGACTACAACACAGATTCTCTCTTATTAGTAGGGAAATAAAACTTTAAGCTTGCACTGTCACAAGAAGAAACCTTGTGCCTTTTTCCTTTGGTTTCAAGCAAAAATTTTCAGATCAACATTTGATGTGAATGATTCTAACTCCTCAGCTCATTGAAATTACAATCACTAGTGCGAATTTGCTCCAGCTGAGGATCTAGTTTGCCACTCAGGATTTATAGCACAGTTTCAAGTTCCTTATCCCAGTGATATTCCTTCAAATTTCGTATTTTGCAATAGGTTGTCATAAAATTTAGACATATGGGTTTTTTTATCCTCATCAGAGATGAAATGTTGTTCATTGCTTTTGATTACTGTAAAATAGCACTATGAGCAGTGAGAAACTCCTTTCAACATTTGTCACTCCGTACTCCTCTATGCATTGACTCAAATGTTTAGAGATTTTTTTTTTTATAAAAATTCAGCTGCAGTAGCTCTGCCATGACCTCTAGAAGCAACAGATTAAAAAGACAGAGGATTGCTTGTCTAACTAGCCATTGCCCTCACCTAACCTTTGGCCAGTTTCACTCAGCTTTCCAGGCTTTTCCAGAAACACACTGATTTGGTGGCTAGAAAATTTCTTCTAATTTTATTGACATCCTCTTCATTCAAGTTTGTTTTAATTCCAAATCTTTCCTCCAATCTAAGTTGATAAAGTCCATCTTTGATGTTTTCTTGATTAACAGATTTATATTGTATCCCATTTGTGTCCTTATTTTACAAGGTAAAAAAGACTCCTTCCAGACTGTAAATAGTACAAAAGATGCAGATATTATGATCCCTAGAGTATGAACAGCTGAATGTGCCTTTCATGCTAACAATAAGATTGGGAGTAGCTCCATTGTGGGTACAAATTAGTGTCACATCATTGGCTCTGGTGAAGCTACATCAATTAACATCACAGGGATTTGATCAAAATAGTTTTATTGAAACAGATTTTCAGCAGTATCTGAGCTGTGTTCCCCACTGGAAAAGGGCAGATGTGGCTGAATTGGTAGGGTAGGAACTCGCTGGACTTGCAATTCACTCTCAGATGCGCTGGCACAGGAGGACAATTCCTGGACATACAGGAACTCCTGTCCTGTGCTGCATTATCCACACCAGCCATGCAGATGGGTCTCGACAGAGCTATGCCTCCTGTTTGTTATTCTAAGGAACAGCAGCCTGGAGGTGCCTACAGATAAACCTGTGAGTGATTGAACACTGGGAAGTCATTTCTGAAGAAGTGATTCCTGCCTTCCTTTGCCTGCCCTAAGATATGGGGAATGTTCCCTTTTCAGCTAATCCTGCCTGCATTACTGGAGCAGAACATGAAGTCCCTGTAGGAGTCTTCCAGTGAGCTTTGTGTGATACTGTTACATTGTACTAACATCACCCTCTATGTACAGTCACTAAAACAGGGATCTCAGGTCTGTGCCCACAGCTGAGCTTCTTGTTGTTCCTTCTGAAGTTTCCAGCCTCAATGGCAGCAAAGGAGATGTGTAGTTTTATTCCTCATGACAGTGCAATGACTATGATGGAACTGTTAAAATGCAGTTCAGAAAATGTTGCAGAAAAAAAAAACAAGTATTTACTAGCAGTTTTCAGGGAAGAAAAGAAAAAAAAAAAAAAAAAAAGATGCAGTTGATACAAATTAATCAGTGTTAATGCCTGAGATGGAGGCCAGACATCATAGCCCATGAGTTTTAATGACCTTTGCAGTTCCTTGCAAGGCTCTCTCTGTGCTGCTTCAAAAATGCTTGCATAGCCACTAGATCTTACTTACGAGCAGGCAAGAAGCTCTGGCTAACATTGTCAGTCCTCTCATCAGCTTTATGGTCTCATTACAGCCACTGGGTGCTGAACATTAATATGCTTTTATCTGTGCCAACCTGAGCACAAATACATTCTCCACTCATCCCGCTCCCTCTGCCTCTTACATCATCATTACTGGTATAGCAAAAATGCTATGGAGAGAAAAATACTTTAAGACAATGTTGAGATCTCCTGAGCCTTCTAGAAAAATGCAACCTAAACAAAAAAGTTTAGGTCAGTCATTTAGAAGCTGTGAAGAGGGTTGTTAATTGGCCTTCTTGGATACACGCCGAAGAGACAGTCTGCTTCAAAATGGTAACTTGCTGACCTTTTCATCAGTACAAGATTATTTGTCTGGCTCTCGCTAGGGAGAGCTGTGGCATTGTCTCTTTAATAATGCATTGATGACTTTTCAAACCTATTTTCTTGCCAGAATTAGTGTCATACGTAATCTATGTCTTTTTTGGTTCTTTTTTACAGTGAATATATCAATGTCCTGCATTAAGAGATCTCATCTTAAAACAGAAAGATTTAAATGTAACCTTTTTTTCAGACGAATTTTTAGGGCATGCAGCTCCATTGCTGGTGGGAAGCAAAATGTAGGTCATGAGAACCTATTTGATCTGTAAAATATTTTGTAGTTTAGGCTTGTAGCTGCTTCTACCTGCTGCCCTGCTTGTTGGAGGTCTTGACACACAGATGTCTGGCATGCTTCTTAAATCCATTTGTTTGATGCAGCTAGGTACACCTAGCAGAGATGGCCATGTGGTCTGAAGTCATCCATAGAACCTTTGCTCGGAGGTGGATTTTCAATAAAAAGAAGTGATGGTCCACTCACTCCTTTTGCATGAGAGTCTACTGGTTGAAGACCTCCCCTACCTCCCAGCACTGTGTGCTGTGGATTACAGACTTGTCTTCACGGATTATAGACTCTAGCCTACGAGACCCATTCCCATGAGTCAAAGGGCTCTCTGTCTCTAGTCAGCCCATGTGCAGCACAAAGCCACTAGCATGATGAAGGGGTACATAAATAATGCTTCCTGAGTGATGCAGTATTTCATTGCTTACCTTGTGTTGGCAATTTAGCAAACATCCGCAGTAAGTCAATGAGCTGAGCTGAGTGCCAGCTTTTGTCAGAGTAGCTTCAACTTGGTTTATAAGGAGCAGGGAAGTTGCTATATCTGGAAATGAAGCAGCCAGAATCTTCTAGGAATTCACTTCTGAAAAACCTTTTGTTCTCTGGTGATCACAGTGCAATGTTTTTTTTACGTGCTGACTCCAGTAAGCCTTCTCAGAAAGACAATTAATGCTTTGGAAAGCAGCCATCAGCGATTTGAAACACATGTTCTTACCGAGCTGTTTAGATACAGCAAAGGGGAACTCAGTTTAAGCTGATATTAAAGAGGACATTTGTTTAAAGCGAAGCTACTAAGGATGTGTACGTTAAATGATAAAGATACTGACAAAACTGTGCTGCAGTAAAGTTATTCAGTAAATTGGATTATCTACATTTTAACGAGATTACCCACTCCAAGGCCTCTGGAGATTTGCTGGTGGAATAAAAAGAGAAGAGAGATCTAGGCCACAGACTAGCTGCATGTTTTTTCAGTTCTTTTTCTGCAGTTAATTAAAAGAACATCCTCTCCTGCTCCTAACCACTGTTCTGTGCACTCCGTACCTCGTACCTGTAGATTTATCTCAGAACAGAATCATCTATGATTCTATGATTTGTCAGAACACTTGGCTCTTCATCCCACATTGCTCATTGGACACTAGTATAAACCAAACCCTGAGCACCTTGGGATATTACTGGGAAGATAGGACTGTGGCATCACCTAGCATGTTTATTCACACATATAAGGCAAAAGCCCTGCTAACCAGTGCAGCATTTTGTGATGTTTGGAATAAATTGCCACTGGGAGCATTGCCTGAACAGAACATGTGTAAGTACCATCATCCTTCATTACAGGAACAAAAGGATCAAGATTTTCTCGGGAAAGTAAAATAGTCCTGCAACAGCCACGCAGTATTTGGCAGCTGTTTTTGTCTTCATTTTCCTATTAAAGCAAAGGCATGCCATGATTTGTATTTAACAAGTAGCTCTTGAAAAGAATTGCGTGAATTTTAGTATATGACTCATTTAAAATGAAAGGCAGCTTCCAGACAAAGCCCAGTACTTGTTCAGCATTTAGAGAGTGTACTTTACAATACTATAAGTGGGGATTTGCAGGCTCTCCCATTGGTTCGAACTTTTTTGGCTAACTCCTTTCACAAGTGCAGAAGTACTTTACATAATTATGGCCTTGTGAAATCCACCTGTTTCGTTAATAACACTTTCTATTTAACCATATGTAATAGTTTTCCAAAGGCATTTTTTAGAGCTTTCTTGGTCAAAATTGACAGCTGTGATTTTTAAGCTAATGCAGCATCAGACCACTCTGACTCCCGGGATAAAACAGTCATTGACATTTCAGCAACGTTTCCAAATTGGCTTCATGAATATTCACTACACTTCTTAATACATATATATTTTTCCTACATATAATGCAGTGCTTTTTGTTACGAGGTAGATAACCAGTTGGCTTTTCAATGTGAACCTCTGAGGATATCCAGATATCACCTCAGAGCTCAGATGAGTGCTTATGCAAGTGAATGAGTATTTTATGGACCTTTTTGGTCCTTCCGGATTTGGTTGTTGTATTTGTCTGTTTCGCTTCAGTTCATAAAACCTGAAAGTTTGAAGCTCTTCTGAAATAATCTAGATTAGTAATAAACATAAAATGAATGCTGTTACTTTTTTCCCAGTCCCAGGCAGTGCTTTTCATCACCATTCAACACCATCAACTGTGCTCCTCTAAAATAGAATTACCCCAAATATGGTTTCTCCCTTGACTTGTATGGGGGAGAACTCAGCTTGTGCTTCTCACAGAAACCTTTTTACATTAGAATGCCAAGTTTCCTCTGGACAAACATTGGCTGACAGTTTTTTGCAGCTTCAGTATTAAGTTCAGTGTGCTTTCTGTTTTATTAGTTATAGCTTCATTCCTGGAACAGAACTAATCACCTTAATTTCTCCTCTTCTTCTTAGGTTAATTTCAAACACAGGTCTTAGGTTTTTACCTGTTGTTCACAAGGTACACTCCTTCCAGAAGGTTTTGCTGTAAGTTTTAATGATTTTATAAGTTCCTTATGAATGTCTTGCTGTTCTAACAAAATCATCGAGATCCAGTTTGCCTCGTGCTTACTTATTAGCTTTGTGGTAGCATTTGTGGTCACATTTTTGTAGGCATTGATGATAATGTAGCCTAAAGGGTCTCTATTCTCTGGAACTCCTTTCTGCAAAGCATTGTAGCTTGCACTCTGCCAACTGCTCTTCTATGAGTGCACAGGTACAGAGTCCCAGGGGACTGATAACAGCCTTTTAGTTTTGATTCACCAGCTGAAATTTAAACCAGGCTGATGGAAATGGGAATTTGTTGCCACCTGGTGACAGTTCTCTGGTCTGCATGGAAAGAGTTGCTGAACTTTGTGCTGTTTTCTCTGCATGGCAAAGAGAACAAAAGCCACTGGAAAATATCTCACTCAGTTAATTTACTGATTGTGAAAATGCCCAGGGAATGTAATATATTCTTCTGTGGAAAAAGTTCAGTGCCAATAGAAGGAAAAATATGTACAATTTTGTGGGAAAGTTTGTTTGTTCTTGTGTTTGTTTTCCCAGGAAAATTACATCTCTTTTCTTGGGGAAAAAAAAGAAAAAAATCACATTAAGATAAGAGTGTCTTTTTTTCATGGAATAGATCTTGACCAATATTTTTTTCAATTGATTGTAAGTATAATTGTATCAAAATCAAAAGGAAAACTAAAAATGGGAATTAAGCAACTATTTCTTTTTTTCTTTTCGATGAGGAATATTAATGGCATGCAGAAAAAGTTGTGAATCTTCGAATCTCTGATTATAAGATTTTAATCTGTAGGAACAGTAATCCTGCTGTTTGTCTTACAAATATTGTATACATGTATAATATACAAAATACCTTTCTGTTACATGCTTGACAGAGAAATTTGAGAACTGCACTTCAGGGCTCCATGAAGCCATAAAGCAAACGCAATGGCTGTGGAGCCACCGAACCTTCCCCCTGCTTACCTAGCATTAACTAGACTTGAATTGCTGTGTCCCACTGAGCAAGAGATTTTTTTTAGGTGAAATTCCTCACTTTTTGTAAGGAAAGCCTTGACACAAAATAGACCTTAGGTCCAAACCCTGGCTACACTGAAGCTCCATGAGAAAATTCTTGCTGACTTCAGTTGTTCTGGTGTTTAAATCCCAAAGAATAGAATCTGATGGGTTATTGAGGTTTGTGAGGAGCTGGTTGTTTCCCTTTTGCAGTGGGAAACTTTCACTTCTATGGGTGCCGCACTCCTTCCCTATTCTTCCCTCTTCTGATCTCAGTGTGAAGAAGGATGGACGTGTCAGTTAATACAGTGCTGTGGCCATATTTCACTCTCGGTATGAGATAATTTTGGAACCTCATTTAACTTCAAGCTTTGCAGATAATTCATTTTGTTCCATGCTTTCCAGCAGAAACAGCATGAAAACAACCATATCCCCAGACTAAATTATGAGTAATGCTGTTTAACTTCTTTGAGGTCTATTTTGAGCAAGCAACAGAATGTATATGTGCAGTTCTTTTTGTGTAGCAGTCAAAACTGCTGAAAGACTGAAATGCATACTTGTCACTTCAACAAACTGAAATGACAGGGGTCCTGCATTGCAAGTTCTGAAGCACAGACAAAGCTTATAAGCAACCTCGCTGACATTAGCAGGGGATTATTTTCATGGGTTTTCAGATCCCTTGCTGAATCAGACCACAAAGGCTAATGGTCCTTCCACTTTCTGGCTGGGAGGCTGAAAGAAGCCACACAACTTGTATTTAATGGATAACAGATTTTCTGGATGGTCAGTTGGGCTGTGAGACTCAAGCTTGTGTGCATTTCAATGGCATAAACCAGTCTGGGAGGCGGGCGTGTGAGGTGCGCAGAACAAGAGTCTGGAAATGTTGTGCTCCTACCTCTTTTTTTTTTTAACAGGAAGGTTTGCTCTCTGCAGGTGGTCAAATGTTCAAATGTCTTAAAAGCTGATGTTGTCAACCTTTGCATAAGAGTTCCTCAGACTGAATATAACAAAAAGCAGCATGTTTGAAATATTATAACGTATTGAAAGGCTCACAGAAGTGCAAAACAGGTGTTGTTTCCATTGTATTTTATTTTCCAGAGATGTGCAAGACAATATCCATATACGTACAATTGAAAGGAACACATTCATGGGCCTGAGTTCTGAAAGTGTGATTCTGTGAGTAAGACATGGCAAGTTCATTGTTCTCACCTGCTCATTCCTTGTCCAGAACCGAGTTGAGGATTCTGTGGGATGGGCTCTGTTCTACAGGCTTCCAAATTCAGTTGGAAGTTTTAGATTTTACCCCTTCTCCTGCATTCTCTGCATTCTGTTTTGCTGCCATGAAAAATTAATGTATCTGTGTTGTGTTTTCGTTGCTTTTGTTGTTGCTGTATTCTAACTCTGCTCCTTATTTTAGAACCTCTGGGTAGAGTAAATTTTGTAATTACTAGTGCCAAGGTTAAATGTATTCCACCTACAGCAACAGTTCATGTGATGCAAATTGTATTCAGAGGGATGGTGTGATTCATAAATATTTACAGTCAGACACATCAGTCAAAGGCATTAGTTACCCTGGCAAAATAGATGTAGATGTTTTGAAAATACAGTATATTTGTACACAATGTTAATGCATTGATACAGGCTGGTTCACAATGCAGTTCCATGCTGTGTGGTTAGATGACTCCTCGTTTGACTCGAGTAGTCATGTTTTTTAATGAACTACCTGGCTTCTTCTGCTGGCATATCAAACTGTACCGTGTGCTTACTAACAAGCTGCCTTCATTCCATCTAGCCAGTGGCCAGACTGGAAGAATCTCCCACTGTGTGTGCAGTTAACCTCTTGTGACACAACAGACAAAGACTGATTGATTTGGTTTACATTGATTTTGGTGGGAGCAGAGTCAAACTATCCATACTTGAAGAGAGGACAATAACAAGTCACCCAGCTGTTATCTCTCCCTTTTTCTCCATAAGATATCCACAACCTGTCAGTGCCAAGTTCCCTGAAGTTTTAAACATACACACATACATACATGAGATATTCATGCAACTATCTCAAATGTATTCAAGTAATGATACCCCAAATGTACTTTTTTATTTTTCCTCCTATAATTATAGTTTTCGCTGCTCAGATGGGACGTGGTTTTGTCAGAGTACTACACAGCACATACCTTATTTATTCCCATAATACCACTACAGGATGACAGGTGTATGCCAGGTTTTTAGTGTGATTTGCCCTCCTTATAGCAGTCGAGCATTCAAGACTTCCAAGGCACAATGAACCCCCACAGTCTGAGGAGAGCCAATTTTAGCAGGCCTACTGCAACAGGCTCCCAGCATGCATAAGCCAGTAATTTGGATTGCATCTAAGATTGCTTTATGCATGGGTCAACACCGAGGAGGCGAATTGTAAGTGGGTCTTAAACATACCAGTACCGCCAGGAAATGGTGAGTAAAAGCCCGTATGTCCAGGCTCTGATTTGTGCCTTTGTGTCACCTGTTGCTATCATAAGATTTCCAGATTATTTAGGGGAACCAGTAAGGGTGCTGGTTGAAGTGAGGGGAGAATGTGTCTCAGTAGAGTCTTGTCCAGGTAACAACTGAGAAGGAGGTATAACAAAGCCTTAGGATATAGGCAAAATGTTGTTTGCTCTCTTTGCTATCTGAAGGCAGTTTGCCAGGTGACATGAGTGTACAGTCCACACTGTATGACAACAGTAACTCAGACTGTATGACTCTAGTATCTCATTGAATTAGCATCATGTTCAGTGAGAAAAAGCAGTCTGAGCTAATACTGTGATTTAAAGCATACACATCAGCCTAATAGATTGGAAGGGATGCGATCAATTTAATATAATAAATATTTTAAATGCCGTAAGCAGGGACATAGCTCTCCTGTGTGCCTGCTCACTCATATCTAATAGTGCTATTGCAAGCAAAGGAGATGATGGCAGTTTTCCTGATGTGACCTGACACACACTGTAGGCATGGAATTATGCACATCTGCCTTCCGTGGTCAGAAGGGTAATCCCTTCAACCAGACCCGTGACTGATTTTCATAGCGAGCTGAGTTCACCACCTCAGACCTCAGATAAGTGGGTCACTTGCATGCTCAGCTTTCAGTGTGATTTAGGAACGTGGTGTCCGTGTTTACTGACAGTGTCACTAAATCAAGCCAGTTTTGCCACCAATCAGACTTGTCATGCCCTCTTGGAGAAAGCATGAGTTGCACTGCAACGGGATGAAAAATCATACCGTAAAGATGATAAGCATAACTGACCCAAATGTAAATTTCCAGGATCACTAAGGGAAGTGATGGAAGGAATTAAGCATTCATTAGTTAATGCACTACAGCAAAAAATTGTCAGGAAGCCCTACGGCTCCCTACCTGCTCCTCCTCTCAGAGGAAGGAGCCTGGGGAGATGTGGAGCAGGGCTGACGACATCAGAAGAGGCAGCTGGTGTGAGGAGAACTGTCTGCTTCCCAGGCAGTTTGACACCAGCCACATCCTTGTGTCCTTCTTGAGCCTATTTTAAAATAATAGTTGGCAAAGGTTAAGCTCTTCCAAAAGCGTCTTGGGAAAAGCAAAGTGTATACATAAGGAATGGCAACAGTAGGAAAGATCTCACTCATGCTGGGGTTAACCTGATCCAGCTTTGCTGGCTCCCCTTGGGATTCCCAGGGCAGCTGAGCAGCACTGGTGACTTCATCAGTTCCACCTTTGCTTCAAAAACTTACTCCAACTCATCTCTTATGGTAATGCTGGTTTGCCCTCTTCATATCTGTTCTCTGCAAGTCCTACTTCTAACTATTGGGATATTAGCAGCTGAGATTCATAGACATTTGGTTATTTAAATACTCATTTAATAATTTCTCGCTTGAGATCCTTTTCAGTGGTTTTATTTGCACATGAAGCTGTATCAGAAAAACTTTTGTTTTTTTCTCTGTTGCAGACGGCTAAATAAAAACGGGATTCAGGAAATCAAGAATCATGCATTTAATGGAACCTGCCTGGATGAGCTGTAACTATTTTTGTTGTTTACTATTCTGAAAAGCAATTATTAGGAGACAGCAACTTTTGCAAGGCATTATCTCAATCTCTGATTACTTTAGAATCGATATTGTGTTTTCCAGAAATCTAAGTGACAATCACAACTTAGAAAAATTACCGGATGAAGTCTTCCAAGGAGCCATCGGTCCTGTTGTTTTGTAAGTAATATTCAAATTTGTCTTTTCTCATTATTTAGCCCACAGAAGAGACCAAAAAAGAACATCTGAATGCCAGTCTGGATTTCGACATCTCCCAAATCTTGCAATTCAAAATTGGAAGTGTAGAAAAGTGGAAGCCATATCAGAAATATCTAGATCCGTGTTTTCACTTTGTCCTCAGAGCTTTTAGATTTTTTTATATCCAGGGATTTAAATCCAAAGTCCTCTCTGCAGTTGATTAAGCTCTATAGCTCTGCTTCATTTTTTTGCAGAGAAAATACAGTTTGTTTTTTGTTTGGGGCAAAATCAAGAATAAGTAGTTGGGTTTTCAGAGTTTACATCTGAATAGCTCACCCTTCAACTATTTACAAACAGTGAAGATTTGCCCTGCATCTCTGAAGCTTAGTTCCTAAGAGAAAATCCCTACCCTAGAAGGATGTGTATATCTCACACAGTTGAGATACAGCTCTCGAGTTGGCTGGCAGAGTGAAGAGCATGATCTCAGCAATAGGATGCTCCTGGATCTCAGCACTTCGCACTACACTTTGCTATGTAGTAAAACACCTGCGAGAGTGCTCAACTGCTTGTGTTTCTGAGCAAAAGCTACAGGATGTAAGAGCTGCAACGAAGACAAGGAAGGGTGTCTTTTTCTTGTGCCACAAATCACAAATTCATCACATCCTTTCTTTCTTCCCATCTGTCCTAGACATCCAGAGAGTCCTAGGAGTCAATCAGAAAAGGTGAAAACAGGTAAATGGGAGCTGATGGAAAACGTTACAGAGATTAAAGTGGTTAGAAATCTAAAAAATGAGGGAGAAAAATGACTGGTTAACCTTGAGCTCAGACGAGCTGTTCTGAAGGCATTTTTCCATGTAGTGATGATCAGTGCATTTATGACACAAAAATGTGTTACTGTATTCTATTCCTCTTCCATCACTCCCTCAGTGCCTTTCTCCTTTGGAAAAGACTGCCACTGGAGCATCTTTTCAGCAGTAACGTTGTTGATGTTTTTTTGGAAAAGCATTGGTTCCAGTACCAAAAATTAAATGCATTTTCTTTGCAAGTTGTAGTGATTCAAAAGGTTTATAAAATTGATATGGCTGTAGCTCAGATTCATTTGATAGTTCAACTTCTAACACTGAATTACTTGTGTAAGAAGTTTTCTGTTCCACTACCACTCTATCCACTGTTCTATGGATGGGAAATTACTTTTTCATCCTGACTGAGATCAAGAAAGCAAAGCCTTCTTACTCATCTATCACTGCGGCTTACACCTGGAATGCTGAGGAAATGACTGACCCATACTCATATCTTTGCTGGAAAAACAGGGCTGTTGAAATCGAATTTGTGCTGCAGGCTGCCATGTTTTATTAGGCTGAACATCAGGATATTTTAACTCTTGTTTTTCCTGAACCAGAGCTGTGTGGTCAGTTAATACCAATCCCTATTTTATAGTTCAGAATATTTAAACAGCATGAAAGAATGACAAACACAAATAGTAAAGTCAGGAAGCACCTAACTTAGTGAGCTTTATGCAGGCTGCACAGTCTCAGCAATCAATTCCTCTTTTGGCTGAATTAGAATCTCTTTCTTGGAAAGATGTCAGGTTTTGAGTTAAAGGAGTTCAGCGCTGACAGTAAGCAAGGAAATAAAATGGCTAATTACTCCCACATATATACGCATTCCTTCTATACAGAAATATGGTTTATTTCCATTATTTCATTTAATCTTCTTGTGCTTCCACAGCTGTGGTGACTTACACGAACTTTTACTGGAGTTCCTAGGAAATTCTGCCTCCTGTAAGCACTAAAATCATGCTGGAGGTACCAGCAAATTGCAGGAAGCTACAGGGAGACTCTCAGCATGCCCCCTCTCTGTAAATATAGTTCATCTGATCGATGATGATCCATTCTGGGCTGAGCTCTCTGGCTGTGTCCTGCCTCAGAAGCAGTGCAAGGTATGGCCATTGTCTTTCCTGTCCTTGCAATTTGACTGCAACAGGAACCCCACAGATGTGGACCACAATAGACCTCTAGAGGATCCTCAAGAGGACAACTGAGACCCTGAGGCACAGCTAGAGGACACTTCAGATACAGCTGCTAGAAAAATTGATCTCACTATTGGTCTCTCCTCTCCGGCTTCTGCTCTGACAGCCATGCCTTGCTATCCCACTATGTTCCTTTCAAACCTAAATTGGACTATCATCTGGTCAGTGTTTCGAGTAGTTCAAAAAAGATTCCCAGAAGGAAGAGGAAGAGGTTGGAAGAGAAGTCAGATTCATTTTGCTGTTCCCATACCAACTTCTGTCAAGTCTGATGACTAGCAGCCAAGCATTAATAATACACCGTGTATTCCCATCTCCAATGCTTTCTGGTTTGATTTCCCACTGCTATTTTATCTTCTTCTTCATCTTCCTTATTTAATTTACCAGTCCAGTAACTAGGGAGGAACGTCCCGAAGAATCTCTGCACTGAATTCTGCTCTATGATGTCTCGGTGGATAAAACTACTAAACCACCTGCACAATGTCTGCGTTTCCTGTCTGGGGAGTCTCTTGATGGTATATCAATAATTTTCTCTAATAGACATCCCAGCAAACCCTGCAGTAGTTTACAAAGCCCTTTCCCCAGCTCATGTTGGTTTACATGCAATAATGAGCACGCGCGCACACACACACACACACACACACACACACAAAGAAAAGAATTTTTAAGAGAAGAAAAGTGTATTTTCATGGGTGAATATTCAGTATTTATGAAATTGTTTTAAGATGCACAGAGACACAGATCCTGTAATATTTTCTTAGTTATTTTTAAGTCCAGATGTACTGTTTATTTGTTGCTTCCACCCTGTATATTAACCATTTGGGGCACTGATGTTTTCTAGCTAGTGAGACAAAGAAAACATTTCTCATGCTCTTGGTTGGAATATGAACCCTTGTGAAGTTCCATAGACTCTTAATGATTCCGTGAGTGATGTTGTCTGTGAACGTAGGGGAAAACTGCTGTTCAGTTGGTGAGTCATTAAGATCTACTCTAGCTGACAGTTTTCAGGGCAGGCAACTAAGGGCAATAGTCAGTCCTTGAAACAACTGCGGTTGTTCGTTGCTGCCTAATTACTACTTTAGGTGTCAAAGCTGGAAATTTAAGTCTGAAACTTCTCTTCAACTGCTCCTGTGAGACACAAGTCAGTCCCAAATACAGCCCAGGATCAAACCTTTGTTCTCTCAGCCTGAGCAGTGGAAGTTCAAAGCATTTCTGCCTCCACCAGTCCATTTTGTACTTCTAGCTGAAGCTACAGTGCTGGGGCAGGGCAGCAGTGTGGGATCCATCACCAAAATTTCCAGCTGTGGGCACAGTATGGAGACAAAGACCCTCCTTACCCAAAGTCAGTAACTTTGGGTATGACTTTGTTAGCTAGGGCCACCCTATGCTGCAGACTGTGCATTCCTGTATTAATTTTGTTTTGGAGAGAGGAGAATGGAGGTGCAAATGTACATATCATACATGGCAGATGTCTGAGCTTCACAGTGCGCTGCTGAAATCTGATTTCCCCTTCACACCACTCTCCTACATTAATATGATAATAAAAACACTTTGTGCCTGTTGTGATGTTGTATAATAGAGATAAAATAACATGTTGTCTTGCCATCATACTGTTACAGATGTATGTATCTTGGGGGGGGGGAGGGGGAAGGGAACATGGAGAAAATGACAAATGATGTCAGTTCCTTTATTAAGATAAATTCATTTATTTTGTAAGAGAACAAAGACCAGAGCAACCTCAGCAAAGGCTGCATCCTGCATCACTCTTGTCCACTAAGAGCATGGGAGCTAAGAGTGATTTTGTATAGTCCATTCTGCTTTGGTGTAGAAGAAAGAAATGTACAATGTACTCTTCCCTTGTCACAAGCTGAGGGACACAGTTTGTCCCTAGCCAAGGCAATGTGGCAATGTTTTGTCCCAGATATTATGGCATGGGGACAGGTTCCTTGGAAATGGAGTGTCACTGGTCCTTTTTCCCTTTCCCTACATGTGTGGCAGTAGTCTCAATTTAGTGTTTGCACCATGTTTTTCCTCCTGTGAGCTTCACTAATGCTCTTCGTAATACATCTGTAGCTGCCTTTGATAGCCTGTCTCACAAAGTAATTGCCTTCCACATAAATATATCTCTCCTAACCTCCTGTAATCTTACCCCTTGCTCTGCTTCAGTCGATACTCTCTCTTCGTTTTTTAAACCTCTGGAAACATTTCGATGTTTTTGTTCCTTGCAGTTTGAACTGTATCACCTTTCTCTCTCTTTAATCTCTTTTCCTTCCTAATGAGTACAAAATCTGAAATCCCCAACCTCTCCTCATATCAGTAACCCCCATGGGGTTCACTTTGTGTTTATCGCCTCTTCTGTGGTGGCTTTTGCATGATGTGATGCTCATGAGGGATATCACAAACTTCTCTTGTAACTTCATCAGCCTACTTTTTTCTCCTGTAACAGTGTTCTTGGATGCATTTCTTTCAATATTTACTAAATTCAGAATAATATGGAGCTAGTAGTTTATGTCATTGTTAATCCTGAACCAGAGGGTATTGGGATCTTTTTCCCAAATCAAAGTAACATCTCTTAATTGCTGTTTACAGTGAATAATAGTTCGGGTTTCCTTGAGGAACCCTTATTTATTCCTGGATTCTGTTTTCAGCATAATTTTCAGTTGATCTCTTTTTAATCACGTCTCTGATAATGAGTAGGACGATCTGTAACACGTATCCACTATGTAGCTGAAATAAATTTGCTTTTTACCAGGATTTTCATATGTTTTCTTAAAGGGATATTTCAAGGACAAGAATCAGCTTCCTGCCAAGTCATGGATTAGAATTCATTAAGAAGCTAAGAGCGAGGTCTACATACAAGTTAAAAAAACTTCCCGATTTAAGCAAATTTAGATCTTTGATTGAGGCAAACTTCACCTATCCTAGCCACTGCTGTGCTTTTACAAATTGGAAAAGACAAAAGTAAGTGATTTCATTTGTTTTAATTTTTGGTTTTTCTCAGCAGTTGGTAGTGAACAAACTGGATATGAAAGTACATGAATAGAAATAAATAAATGTACAATGCATTCACGGTTCCACACGCTGCACAGTGCACTGCCTCTCCATTCCAGGTAGGTAATAAATTTTGGTAGCTGTATTGCTATCAGTGTTTTCTCCAGCTGAGACTCCAGCCATCTCTCACTGGGACCTGTTGTCCTCCACCAGCCTGGAGCCACCACCCTGAAGACATCCAGCAGAAAAATGTTTATTACTTTTCAGGAGGTAACTGGAAGGAAATCTGTGTTTCCAGAGAAGCAGGTCAATACGGCCATCAATTCAGGAGGGTATCAGACACTCTCAGAAAGCCACACTGAAGTTGGAACCAAATAAAATGAATTAATAGAAAGAACAGACTAATTCGGTTAGAAGGAACCTATAGAGATCATTAGGTCCAACTGCCTGAACATTCAGAGCTAGTTATAGTATATAAATGAGGGCTTTTTCCAAATGCTGTTAGAACACTGAGAAGCGTGGGGCGTCAGTCACCTCATTGGTAAGACTTTGCAGTGTCCGACCACCCTCACGGTAAGTTGATTTTCCCAGTGCCCAATCTGACCCTGGTCTTGCACAGTTCTGGGCGGCTCCCTCCTGCCCTCCATTTCCAGGAGCAGAGCCCTGCACTGCCCTCTGGAGCTGCAGGGTGCAGAGAATTCACCTCTCCTCCAGACAGGGCACCAATTGTCTTCAGCCTCTCCTCGCAGGATTTGCCTTCAGCTTTGCTTTGCTGACTTCTGAATGCAGTAAAGCTAAATATTAGCAGGAGAATCACCAGTGCCACTGTTACTTTATCTGTAGCATCTACATACACACAAGATTTGGCCATTATTTCTGTAATGGTTAATACAGAACGAACCTTTTCTGTCCAAATCAACTAAGATAGGCAGGTGTTTTTAGATTCCCAAAGTAATTTCCAGGGCTTGTTTTAATTTGTCATTAGCAAAGATGTGCTGAGACATCAAGTATTAATGATTTCCTTTGAGTATTTTCAACTATTCAGATAGGCTTTAAATGTACGTGTTAAGTAGTTAATGAACTTGATGATCTCCAGAGGTCCCTTCCGACTAGGATTCTGTGAACTCCTGAATTTGTGCCACTGGAAAACTTGAGGCACTGTACCTATGGAAATCCATGCTATTATTTGAAGTTCTTTTACAGAATGTGTTTGGAATTTGCCAAGGCAGAAAGAAATATACTTTGGATCAGTGGATCAGTGTTATAGCTCAAGACATTGTTTTCAGAAGCTGCCTGGAACTTCAAAGAAAAGTAAAGCTATGTAGAAAAAGCATAATCTATTAGTAAGCTTCATTTAAATACTTAAGATAGCCATTCATCTTAGTTTTAGCAGTGTCTGTCACCAGGCAATTAAGGTTTCATCCTGCTTGTGCTGATAGGTACTACGTATCACCTATGTGTGTTTTTAAAACTGTATGAAAAAAGTGCAATCTGATGTTGGACACCACAGTGCTAAGGAAAATATTTGGCAGAATCAATCCCTCACTGACTATTTTTGATCCACAGTTCTGAACTTCTTACTGCAGAAGTTTACCACTAGTTGATATTTCCACGTACTTCTACATGCTTGTTCAGGCCTTGGTCGTCTGCCTGCCCCTCCAGCACCAAAGGTAGTGGTAGTGGTTTGCTAATGAGTTCAGCTTGGTGAAATCCAGGAGGCTGCCATCACAAGCTGCCAGGAAATGAATGAATTTTTTAAAAATGAAAATCACTGTAAGGCAACAGGTCTCTTATATGGAACTTTCTAGGAAGCAGTTTCGGTGATTAAAAAAAAATTGTGCTATGAATATGTAGCAGAGCTATATACGTTTCCTTAAGCTGACCTATCAAATCTCATTTGTTCCCCATAGAGGAAAACAAGCCTTCTTACAATATATCTTCTGAATGGCTGACACATATTCTGGTCTTTGCTGAATGTATTGTTTCTAAAGGGGGAAGCTGAGCTCCAGAATACCCCCAGTAAATTGTCTCAAAAAAAGTATCCTAAATGACTGAAAGATTTTTAAAATAGTGGGAAAATGTATTAAGATATAATTTTGTGAAGTTAATAAAACTGAGTCTGTGAAGGAGTTTAATCACCTTTTTGTTTTTCTGAAGGACTTATACTTAAAATATAATATATCCAAAAGCATGTTAATTTCAGATTAAAAAAAAAGCTAAAAATACTCCTGAAAGAATAGCTACACTTCAGCAATGGTGACGGTTCTTTTTTTCATTTCAGCTTATTCTAGTAATTTAATTCAACTAATATTTCACTTATTTGTAGCTAACGAGGCAGGAAGGCTTTTGTTTATTAAAAAATAGATGTAGAAGGGAGCAGACGCACACCAAAATCTACAAGGGATCCAGCAACAAACTGTGATCTTTTGGTTAAGATTATGAAATCTGGTGTTAAATAAACACATTTGGAGGAATCATTTTCTGTATATAGCACATTCCAGATAGATTTGAACACGCTGTGAAAATGAATGAACGCTAGTTTCTTACATTTTGATACAAGCTAAGTTTTCATCCAACTAGACTGTGGCAGGAATCATTGGGACAACATCACTGTCCTGTAAAAGAAATGCATTGGTAACAGAAAAGTATAAAAATTCAAACCAAATCCATAGGTGCTCTGCTGTATGTTACATGAATAAATGTGTACACATAAGCTATATCTCCTGATCAACAGAACAAAGTTGAGTGCATTTATCTGTGTTTTCAGTGCTTACCAGACGTATCTTTTAAAAATATTACGCATAAATACAAAATGATTGGAGTCAGTCATTTAGATCAGTCTTTCCAGTTAACTGCTTTTAAACATAATTAAAAACAATCATTAACATCTGTACAGTTGTGTCGTGTACTGAACTTGGTAGGCGACCAATATCCCCTGTCCAGAGATGAATGTCTGCCTGTTGGTTTGGTGCTATGTGTTTGGATACCAAAGGTATTCCCATGCATTCCAATACAGATTAGTTGCACACACTGCAGCTGTACCCACTTGCATTTCAAAGCAGCGTTCTCAACTAGCTGTGTGTAATCAGGCTGCTTAGGTTTTTGAATAGCTATTAATAGTCTGCAGTGTTTGCTCACACAGCATCTAGTATTTCTACAAGAGTTTCACTTGGTTTAATGCAATAGACATTGCTTATTCTGCTGGGAATAATAATGTGAGCTGACTTACTGTGCCTCTTCACCTGAGCCTGTCATTCCCCTATAGAGGTTCTGTAGTGGAAATGCTAAGTCACAACTTGAACCAGGGATTGAGCACCTGGTGGGAAGGCAGGGCCAAACCAGGGGAGCTCAGGTGAATTGCTTCACCTGAGTGACTGGAAGGGCTGTAGCCAGGATCCACTCTTCCCAGACTTCACTGAAGGGTTGGCAGTGGAGGTGAGGTTATCTCACTGGAGATCTCTGCCTACTGGAGACTTTCCAAAGGTAAGCAGTTTTCCTTCTTTGTTTCTGCATCCACAGCTGCTGCATTTGGACTTGTTCTCAATTGCTGCAGCATCAGATTGTGTTACCCCGCTACTATCACTGTACTTTCCATCACACTGTAGCATTACATACCTCAGAATTTTTCCTGGTTATCCAGAGGGTGCTTCATAACCCCTGGAAGTGTATTTCTAAGGATCATTGCAGTATTTGATGCACGCATCAGAAACCTCACGAGGAACTGAGACAGGAGCGTGTGGCTCCATTTGTATATTTCCTTTTTTTTATTTTTATTTTTTTTAATTTTTATTTTTTATTTTTGAGATATTTGAAGCATTTGAGAACCTTAGATAAAATAAGTAAATTGCCAGAGTGGATGATGAGTGATCACTTCTCCTGTCTGCACCATCTCTGTCACATTAATGGAAGTATTAAACCTATGAAACAATTAAAGTGTTGGCAGTTTTAATTCTTTTCTCAGAAGGATTGTATGATAAATATTGATCTGCAGGTTTATCATACTGGGATACTGTGATGCTGACCTAACAGTAAACTGCTTTTTAGGACAAGTCCAGTGAGGTACATTGAGCTCTCACATTCCCCTGTGACTGGAAAATAATATCCTTAAAGCTCAGATAGGGCAGAGATTGGATGTTAAAACTCTCAACTTGACACAGACCGTTATGAACTTCAGCAAGCTTTTGGCTTTCCTTGACATAAAGATCACCTTCTGCCTGAAAGATTGGCAGAAAGATCTGCCTGTGTCCTTGCACTTGGTCATTATTCTTTGGAGGAGGTATCACTTGAGAAGCTATTTTTAAAGAACGTGGCAGCACTGGGGGTCATGTTCTTGTGAAATGAAGCCAAACATAATATCAGTTGCTCACTACTCACTTGATGTCACTCCTTGGTAAGGATGGCTGGTTTGAGGTAGGGCCCAATGCAGAACCGAGACCTGGACTATTTATTCTGCTGAGTGCATTTCTTAGCACACAAGATCCTGCTGTCACCAGATCCAGATGGACTGCATGAAATAATTGCTCGCATAAACGTAGTTGTTTTTGTCAGAATGCTGTGCCAATTTTAATGTTATTCTTTCAGTTATCCTTTCTCTGGTTTATTTTTCAGGGTGTTTACTTGAGTAAAACAAGTTAAGCAGCAGCAGAGGTTAACAAATAGCCCAAATAAATGAACTGTGTTATGATACGTGCCCTGTCCCTTGCCAACAGTGCTTTGAATTTTTGCTCTGAGAGCACAAAGGGCAAATATCTCAGGGCAGTCAGTACCAGGTGATGGCTTTTCTTTCCCCTGAGAGTTTGCAGCTGCCCATCATAGTGCTCACGGTGCAAGGAAGCAGCCAGGAGGCCCTTCACTGCCCATCCTCAAAGCAAACAGAGCAGTGAACTCTGTGGGAGCCTGGTTCTGTTTGAGACCTCTGGTTGTTAAATAATTCAGGAATGAATAAATAATAATAATCAGAAATATTTCACTAGCTTTACACAGCTGTCTTATCTGTGGGATAGAGCTAGCTCTAGGCAGTCTCCATAATTCAGGAAATGGCTTATTTTTAACTCATAGCTGAGAAATGATTGGATAAAAACACTTCCTTCAATTCATTTACTAAAACCAGGAGCTGCAATAGCTTCTATGCCCTCAAGTGCTTGTTACACTGAAAACTGAGTGACTTTCTCTCCCATTATTTCTCCTTAGAAGCATACAGTCCCTTTCAGCTAGAGAACTGTTAACATATCGATCAACACGCAGGGCCCTTCACTCATCCTTACATGAACAGAACACAGGGGAACAGAAAGTAATGCCTTGCTGTTGCAGCTGTGACCTCCAAGTGCATATTTGACCTCCCAAGAAATCGGCTTTCTGCCTCAGTTGACAGGCAAGATAAAAAATATTAATAACAGCAGACGATGCTCAGAACCTCATAGGAAACGTTTCTCGCCTTCTGGTGCTGGACCTTCGTTAGTTTTTCTTTCTTCCTTTGAAACTCAATTCTTTTGAAGATGGAATAAGTGCACCAAGGGTAAAATTAGGTTACCAAAGAGAATTCTAGCTTTTAACCTACTGCTCATTGTTTAACCATTTCAAACCAGCTTGAATAGAATCATAGAATCACAAGGTTGGAAACTACCTATAAGATCATCTAGTCCAACCGTCTCCTCATTATCATTGCCACCACAAGCAGAAATAGGAATGGAATGGAATGGGATAGGATAGGATAGGATAGAATAGAATAGAATAGAATAGAATAGAATAGAATAGAATAGAATAGAATAGAATAGAATAGAATAGAATAGAATAGAAAGCTGTCAAGTTGAAATGGAAGATAAGCTGTGGTCCCGTCCTGGAAAACAGACACCAAATTTACTGTCTAACCAGTAAGTGAAAGTAGGCAGAGCAGAACTGCTCTGTTGGCTTTCAACACACTGTCGACTGTTGTATTTGATAATTCAAATTAAATTTGATCCACCTTTGTACAAACCTATGGATGTAAGTTTCTGGAACAGCAAAACTTCGATGTTCTATGAGAAACAGTTATTTAAGGCCTTTATTTCTTGCTAACACATTTTTATAGTTCTTATTTTGATGGATCTGATCTTCTCAAATAAAACATTTGTTTCTTCCCTTGTTCTATGCATGCAGAAGGGTTCAAAATTAATCCTCTAGAAAATAAAGCCAAACACAAAGTATCAAAAAAAAAAAAAAAAAAAAAGAGGCATTCAAAGAATTTTTTCTTGAAATTTCTGCATTTTTTTTTCTGACTGAAAATTCTAAAAACATTGAAAAACCCAAACGATTCTAACAATGTGGGTGTGGAATTGAAGGCTTCCCTTCACTCCTTTTCCCTTCACTTTCCTTGAAAAAGTATGATTGAAGCAAAATATTCTGCCAAGTCTACTGTCTTTATCTGTGATCCATCTTTCAGAGATTATCTGAAAACCCTGCTTGATTCATGCTATTTATGTGCTTTAATGGCCAGTGACAAATATGATATTAGATACAACGAACGGCACACGCTGTAGATGCTCTGTGCCCTGAAGGAATTCTGATATTGAGTATGACACACTGACTGCCAAAAACTTCAGGAAAAAGGGAGTTCAAGAGTAATACTGATGAACAGGGGAGTGATTCTGGTTATACAGACTCCTTTCCTTATGGGCACCACTGAATTGATTCTTCAGAGTCCAGTGTTATGTAGGGCTTCATCATCATGTTTTCCCCATGCAGAATCACCTTCTCAATGACATGTTATTGAGAAATTGAGTTGAAATAAGGGAGGCTTCTTACTCTGTCTAGGTGAATAACTGCATCAAGATTGTTAGTAAGGTGAATATCAGGATTTAATTCCCATATGTTTTAAAATTAATTTACAGTAATGTTATATTAGTAGGGACCTATCAGTCTTGTGCTTTCAAGTTCCAGGCAAACCTTTATAATCAGCTAACCAGAAGAACAGAAGTGCTGATGTAAACACTGTGATTCTATGTTTGTTGTGAGCCTCATGCTGTGTCTCTTAGTTTATAACTGCTTTTTTTTTCTCTTTTTTTTTATTAATTTCAGCACGGAATTATACCCAATATGTAGCATATCTCAGGCTAAGCAAGACCTTGATGAGCAGACTGGCAAAAAGAAACACAGACGATCCGCAGCTGAAGATTATATTTCCCATTATGGCACACGTTTTGGCCCTGCAGAGAACGAATTTGACTATGGCTTGTGCAACGAAGTCATTAATGTGGCTTGCTCACCCAAACCTGATGCCTTCAATCCCTGTGAAGATATCATGGGATACAACGTTCTGAGAGTTCTGATATGGTTTATCAACATTTTAGCTATCACTGGGAACACCACTGTCCTCATTATTTTAATAAGCAGTCAATACAAACTCACTGTACCTCGCTTTCTAATGTGCAATCTTGCCTTTGCAGATCTCTGCATAGGTATCTATCTGTTGTTTATTGCATCAGTAGATATCCAGACCAAAAGCCAGTATTACAACTATGCCATAGACTGGCAAACTGGGGCAGGATGCAATGCTGCAGGATTTTTTACCGTTTTTGCAAGTGAACTCTCAGTCTACACACTGACTGTGATAACTCTGGAAAGGTGGCATACCATCACCTATGCCATGCAACTCGACCGCAAGGTCCGACTTCGGCATGCTGTGATCATAATGATTTTTGGCTGGATGTTTGCTTTCACGGTGGCACTTCTTCCCATATTTGGCATCAGCAGCTACATGAAGGTCAGCATCTGTCTGCCCATGCATATAGAAACACCGTTTTCTCAGGCTTATGTTATATTTCTTTTAGTGTTGAATGTACTCGCTTTTGTGATCATCTGCATCTGCTACATCTGCATCTACTTTACGGTGAGAAACCCCAATGTTATCTCTTCAAACAGTGACACCAAAATTGCCAAGCGCATGGCTATATTGATCTTCACAGACTTCCTCTGCATGGCACCAATATCTTTTTTTGCAATATCAGCTTCACTCAGGGTTCCTCTCATCACGGTGTCCAAATCTAAGATCCTTCTGGTTTTGTTTTACCCTATTAATTCCTGTGCTAACCCTTTCCTCTATGCCATTTTCACAAAGACTTTTCGCAGGGATTTCTTCATCCTGTTGAGCAAATTTGGTTGCTGTGAAATGCAAGCCCAGATTTACAGAACAGAGACTTCCTCATCTGCTCATAATTTCCACACAAGAAATGGCCATTACCCTACCGCATCAAAAAACAGCGACGGGACTATTTATTCACTGGTTCCTCTGAATCACTTGAACTGAGGTGCTTGCATGAATTTGTGTCTGAGGCAGTGTGATAATCACTTTCAACTATTTGAATAATGACTTCGACATAGCATGCAAACTTATTTTTTACGAGAAAACATTTCTATTTCCACTTTGCTTTTTTGTTCATCATCGAAGATGACACATCATCTTCATTACTTCTTGAAGGACAAAGAATGAAAATGCAGTATATGTCAAAGTGTCCTGGTAGAACTGTGTCCAGAAATAAATGAGCTTATAAATGCATATCTCCTACTGTACAGGCAGAGATTCCCCTCAGTCTAGGAAAATGTCAGCTGCTTACTGAGAATGAAGTAATGGTTATATGTGGTCAAAAGGGAAAAGAAAAAAGAAGAAAAAAAAAAAGTGGAATTATTTTTGTTGTCTGTGAAATATGTTGGAACAAAGACAAAGAAATAGCTTTTTTCATTAACCATATCTTCTGAGGTTACAGGAGACAGAAGCCCAGTTTAATGTCCTCCTAGGACTGTTGATTGAGACAGGTGGGCCCAAAAAATCAGATTTCGTATGAATTTCTAACAGCTTTGTTTAGCTTAAGTTTTGTTTCTAAGACAAGAGAGGAAGAAAAAGAGCAGAAGGAATCCTTCATAATAATCATTTCTAAATTTGATTTAATAAAGTTGAGTTAAAATTGCTTTTGCAGAGCTGGATCCCTTGAGTCTGGCAAGGCAAGGCAATGAATACTCTTCAAGACTGTAAGAGCCATTGCAGGCCTGTACCATCCCCTTCACGAGATGCTGGTCCTTTCATAGCTGCTTTCAAGGTAGCAGTTTGTGGCTGTTTCTTTTTTTTTTTTTTTTTTTTTTTTAATTGAAAAAGCAGCGTAAGAAAAAAATGCTAGATGTATTTTATTCGTGCCTGCAACGCCCAAAAAGCCTGCTGGTTTCTTCTCACCACTGAACAATGTGTTTTATGTGTGTAATCTTAAAACTATTTTGCATTTTCCATTCTGAAATCCATTTTAATAAAACCAATATCAAAACAAAGTGCCTTGAGAACAACTGTACGGTCAGAGATATGCTGATGAAGTAAGCAATTAATGTTACTGCTTATCTGGAGAGTTCCATTTATGCAGCACAGCCTCCACAATTGGGTCACTGTGACCTATGAATGAGATTTGCCTGATGAAAGCCTCCACAATGAAAAAACCTGCAGTCTCTCAGAGAGTTAAGGAAGCACAGAAAGATATGCACACCTGAAACTTGTTAAATAGATTTCTTTGCAGCACTGACATCCTAGTTTTAACAAATCTTTTCTATTAATTCTCATTTTCCATGTTGTAAGGCATAAACTATTGATAGCACTTGAGTTTTAGTCATTTAATATATATGCATTTAAACTATTCAATATATAGAAATTACTCTTGTCACATGAGACAATTGTCTGTTTGCCCTTCTAACAACCAAAGCTTAGAATCTCTGACAATGGCACTACAAGTGCCAGTCAACTATAAGTTCAGTCTTCTGTTCAGTGTTCAAGAGATGAGCCATGAGTAGCGAGGAAACAGTCTGTTTTCTCTGGCTCAAAGGAAAGCCTTGTAAGTTATTCTAACTTCAAGCCCACTGCCAGCTTGCTCCACAAACCATCTGACAACTGACAATATTGTAATGACTTCTAGTTTTCCTCTCTATCCTTCAAGGATTTGGGATGGCATAATCCACCCAGAAAGAGCTGCTGCTTTGGGCTGTCATCCAGGGGCAGAATTCCTGGGTGTGACACAGCTTGTGTCACTGCACTGTGTAAGTAGTTTACTAAGCAAGGCTAAGACCTGGCCATCTCTCCCAGCCCCATCAACCTCCAGTAACACACAGATTCACACAGAGAAAGATAAAAAAGGAATGCAAGTGTTGAACAGAGGGACAATGACATGCTGGAGACCGCTTGGAACATGAGCTGAGCATGAGCTCATTACAAGCACCAGGATAACATTTAACTGATTTGAATGGACTGAGCACAGGGGCCAAAATGGCAAGTAAGCCAACTGGAGGGTGGAGAGGGTATTTCAGAGAAAACCAAAAAACTGCATAAACGTATCTTTTCTATTAAACTTTTTTTTTTCTTCTCTGTTTTAACTAGACTTACATTTCATGTGAGTGATTGCTTGATTAGTCCCAGACTTTGAAAGCAATCCCAGATGCCACATTGCTAGTGCAAATTTGCCTTACATGACCCTTGTATTTCAGTCTCCACCAACCCCAGGAAATGCCCAGTTATAGAAGTATGTCTGCCTTTGCTCTCATAGTGCCACTGTCAGAATGACATAGATTGTGCTGAAAGTCAATTTGCTGCCTTTGGGGACACCATAAACTTCTTCATCTGCCTGATACAAGCATCTCTTCTTCAGGCATGTACCTCGAGAGGAGCCCCTACCTGACCTCCCCAGAAAGCACATATCTGGAGTTGTGATGGGTAGAGAGAAATGGGGTCACTACCTCGATAGGCTAAAGGTCACAGCATGAACATTGCCACCACGGGTAAAAGTAATGGGAGCAGCTGGTCAAAAGCATCAATAAAAGCAAAAATCTGACTCAGTAGAGAAAATGAACTGTGAGCCATTTTCTTTACAGCATTTGCTCTGGGGGTTGCACAGATATGCCAACCAGGGTTTGCTCATTAGAAGACAGGTCTATATTTGAGCTTGTTAGGAATTCAGGATGAGGCTTTGTATCCTATTTAGGAAGCCTGGCAAATCATCTGACCACATTTCTTTCCTGTAGATTTCCTCCTAATCATTCCACTGAGGACACAGCAGATAATCTTACATTTAATTTATGCAGCTTTGTTGTTGAGAAGAGTTAATAATGCAAAATGATTTATCCTTGGGGAATAATCTGATCATCCCCCCTCCTCCTAGAAAGAGAGAACAGAAAAGAAAGGTGCATCCAGTTCAAATGGTCAGGTAACCAAAGGCAAACCTCCTCACATGTTTGCATACTTAATTTGAGTACATGTAATCTCCCATTACATATTGCAAATGTGAATTGCATGTAAACTCTTCTTCAGAGTGAGCTTTTAGTCAAAGTTAACTGCAGACACATATTTGAAAATCTGGGCTTTGTTTCTTTAAAATATTCATGCTCAGGCACAGGATTTTACAGCTGTCATCTGGATAATTAAACTCTTCATTAACAGTTGTTCTGAAACCAGTAGGTGACCTTTAATTAGGGATGAAAGTACTCAGGAATGGATTTCAAGCATTAAAAAATGCAGAGAACTCCCTCTCTTCCCTCGTCCGTTGAAACCTTTTGCAAAGCATCAGTTTTCCAAGAGAAATAATGCTGGGTGAGACAAACGTGTTTCCAAGTCTAATACAACAGGTGAATGCTTCACTTAGCTTTACTGTAACTAAAATTTGTAATTATTTCTCTGTCTCATACATCTTTTGCCATATGTCACCTGGATCTTTGCTACCTCAACACCAGCAGACAGATGTATCCACACAAAAAAAGAGCCATAAAAATTAACAAGGACACAAGGAGAACAGTGCACAGATCGGAATGTGCTGTATTTGTGGGTGGGTGAAAGACTGAAGGGCAGGACGGAGCAAGATAGACTTTTTTGTTGAGTCTTCTTAAGATCTAGTGCTAAAATTCTGCACTAATGGGGCCATTCTGGATGAATGCAGCTCCTAGGCAACTAACAATAGAAATGCACATGGGAAAATCTTATGGAGAGAGAAATTTAAAATGAAGTTCCAGTCAGGGGTTGGCCACTACAGAGATTCATTAGGCATCCTTGGTTGAGTGAGGGATGGTCACAGCGTTGTGGTTATAATTAGAGATGTATTATTACATGAAGAAGAAAATAACAATCATCATGTCCTAACCACAGTTTCTAGCACTTAGCCCATAGTAGCACAGTCTTTCTGGAATTCTGGCTTACACATGCTTCTCAGGTCACCTCAGCAGACCCTCTGCAGATCAGGTCAAACTCTTATCAAACAGCACACGACGCAGCCATACCCCAGGCTCAGGCTTTATGTAAAGATCACAAGTCACTCAGTGCTCAGAGGAAAAAGATGGCACATCCCTGTACACTAGGTGTCATGGGGTTTACCACAGCAATGTAATATACAATGAATATTTTGTATATGCTCACTCTGTGAAAAGGAGAGCAGTTGCATCAGGTGCCATACAGGCTACAGACAGCACCGTTACCAGTCTCCTTTGCATTGCAATTCAGTGTACTTCTTGTGAGTTACAAAGGTCTGATTAATTCTTTGAGCTGCTTTTTTTCTTGCCCAAGCTGCATGGGCAGGCATGTGGTCCTGAATATCTGCCTCAGCTTTTCCCCATCTTGGTTCTTCCCAGGATAAGTGGTTCATGCTGCCTGCGCCCAGCAATGCTCTGCTTTTACCTGCCATCCTCTATTAGCAGAATACCTGCTCCTCAGAAGTATTGCTTCAGAAATCAGCAGCGAGAAGTTCAAAAGTCTGCTCATTGTTCACTCTGTACAGAGTGAACTTGTCTTTTTATGTTGCTTTCCAGTTTCTCTTTGCTATTTTAGCTATTTTTTGAGTGATTGCTGTGAGGATAACTAACCCTTGCCCAAGCTTCAAATGTTCTGCTTTGAAGGAGACTCTGTTTGAGGCAGCCGACATCAATAAATCAGGGTGAAACACAGACTCCCCTCCCTGCCTGCTGCAGATTCCCTGGACTTTGTTAGGGAAAAAAAAAAAAACTGATTTTTACACAGGTGATTCAGAGTTTTCTTTCCCTCATGCCACAGATGTCTTGGCAGCAGGAGGCATTCCCTAGTGAAAAGCCAGAGAAAGTGGGGCCATCAAAAACTAGAAAAGTAAAGCCAAACTAGGGCAGCTTTCAATGGGCCTCCACATTCCCCCAACACTGCCTGATGCCACTTCAAGGGAAGGCCCAAAGCCTTTCTTTTTCCTCTCTCTTTTTTAAATTTCCTGGAACAAAATTGGCATTAAAACAGGATTCGCTCTACCTTGCTATCTCTACACGTCCTATTGCATAATACAATACCAAAATTACAAGTTGGCACAAGTACTAAAAAGAGTATTTATATTACCTGCACTAGCATCCTATGTTCCTCAGCAGAGGCAACTTGCCTAGACCTGGCAAAAATTGGGTTGAGCTAGATGTCTTTGCCACAGGTATTGAGGCCATATCTCCGTGGCATTGCATTTTTTGCCATATTGACTTAACCAATATTTGTTTTACATCCAACGGCTCCAGTTTCTCCTATTACCCAACACTGCCTTTCACCAGGACTACACATTCTCTCCCTTCAAAAACTGCTTCTACTCACACCACCACTTTTAGCATCAGTTTTCCTTCCTTCCAGCGACAGCATTATCTTTCCACGTGTTTACACTGGAGTTACAACACTCATTAGTCACTAAAAAAAACATCCAAGGCATTGGTATTTTACTTTTTTTCACCTAAAGATGTTGTTTACCTCTTGGAAATGCTCTGTCTACAGAATGTTCTTCCATTCAACACCATCACGACTATCACTCAGCTTCAATGCAGGTGCTTCAGCATGCAATTCCTGAAGGCACCAGCTCAGCAGTGTTTTGGACTTAGTTCCACTGTTGCTTGTGCACCTGTTCCAATTAGACAAGGGTCATCACTCTTGGCTCTTCAGAAATGATTTTTGACTGCCCTGACTGTAGGTCCTAGTCTTGCTGCAGTGTTCAGCCATGCAAGCAGAAGAGATCTGCTTTTATCCAGGAGAAAAGTAATTCAAAAGTTAAGTGAAACTGAAGAGAAAGCAGGCAACCTGTGTTCACAACAGCCTCATCATTACTCGAAGACTTCAAAGAGCAACAGAAGGGCTGCCAAATTCTAAATTAAGTACTTACAATTTGGCAGAGCTCTACTTGTTGCTGCAGGTGAAACATTTTTTCCTTTGGATATCCCTGCTGCACGCATCACATAGCATCACAGGGCAGTTTTCGCCATTGCTAAGTTGTGTTCCAGATCTCATGCTGTCAGCACTGCCTTCGTTTAGCACTGTGGAACATCTCGTGTGAAACCACCACACACCTCTGACCACAAAGGGCTAACAGTTAATCATGTAACTAACGAGGCAACTAGATAGGTCTAACTTTATTTCTTGAAAATCACTCTCCAGGAATCCTTTGGCTAGCTCTCCCTTTAGGACTAATTCATTGAGAAATATCTTGTTTTTCTTCTGCCATGGTTCCCATGTGAGTCATAGTTTAACTGGATACATTGTTATTTTCTTTGTAATTAAAGAACCCATAGCATGTTTTCACTAGGTAACAGACAACATCAGTGCTCTACCTGGTATCTTCTTGCCTAGCAGGCACTGGTGATGATACTTGAGGCTGCAAGTGAGCTAAGGCTGTTTGCACAACACGTGCTTCCTCTGTTCACAGTATTACTGCAGCCTCTACACTTTCCTAAATCTTGCAAACCTGCAGTTAACCATTGTATGTAGGCAATTACTACATAACTACATAACTACATACTTATGTAAGTAGGCAGAGATCTTCAGAGTACCCTAAATAACCAGTAATACCTATGCAAAGCACTCAGGGATGTGGACACCTCTTTTGAAGACAAAACGTTATCACCCCTTTATTCTCAGTAAGCTGTCTGAGGAAATTGGTTATGGTTTAGCGTGAGATAAAATGATAATCTGCCCTATATTATGTAATATTTATGCAAAGGATGTCCCCAGAATCTTCCTTATTATTTTCATGATTTCTCCTCATAACCCAAAAGACCACAAGGATAGCACAGCTTCCTGTAGGTGAACCTGGAGACTTGCCACTGGCAGAGCGAGAACAACAAAAAATGGGACAGACAGACAGACAGAGAGCATTGGGGAAAAAAAGATGTGTCAAAGCTCGAGGAGCTTTTGTCATATATCAGAAGCAGAACAATTGTCATAATCTTAAGGCTGCACCCAAAATCCAAGATGGTATTGGGACAAAATCTTCCACGTCCTGTGCTCTGCAGCAAGAAGATGACTGCAGTAAGAGGAGAGAGTCCTGGGAGGATTTCAAAGGCTTTTTCCCTTTTAGAATGTCAGCAAAATGAAGAAATGATATTGAGGAAGGAGGGAGGCGGAGATGGGGAAAATGAAATTTCTCTCACTTAAAATAAGACTACACAAATAATTCTTATGAGGCAGTGAAAAGAATTGCACTGAAGAGGCTCATAAAAACACAATGTCTAATTTTTCTAAGCTGGGTGTCCTGCAAGCAATGGTCTGCACTAAGACTAATATTCATCCCTGTTCAGAGTAACAGCACAAGAGCCATTTCCACAATAAATGACCTTTAAGCAGGGCTGACATGATGTGCAAGTTCTGTGCCAGCCCTCTGCACTGCAGCAAATTGAATATCAGGACGGTAACGTTTGCCTTTCGTCTATGAAAAATTGCTCACATCCTCCACCACCACTCCTAGCCATTCCTATCACACATTTGTTTGCAGGTAATTTTGACTAGGAGGCGCAGGAAGGAGGCACCCAAGCTACAGGAGCACCTGAGCTCCTCTCTACTCCAACCGCATGGAAAATAGCAGAAAGAAGAAAGCCTAGGCAAAGGGATGGTACTGCAGATCTAAGCTTTTTCAAACAAGCACCCTCTCCTCTGCAGACCGTGGCTGAAAACCACAGAAGCTGCTGTCCTCCCAACAGCCAAGCAGTTGGGTTGATCATTGCTTCTGAAAAAGGATTTCTTTGTATCATAGACCAGGCTGCCCAGAGCCACATCCAGTCTTGCCTCGAAGTATCCTTACCTATAAGCAAACCCTACTGAGATCTTCTACCGAATTACAGTTGAATTTCCTTGTACACACACACGAACACACACAAAGAAGTTGTTTAATCATCAAGCACCACTTTTACCACAAGTCTCTCACTGTCTCAGTATCTCCTTCCAAACTTTGTCTTCATCTTTCATTTCACTGGTCATGAAAATGATCCATTCTTAACCAAAGGGTAGATAATCGCAAGACAAGGGGAAATGGTTTTGCATTACAGGAAGAAAGATTAAGGTTGGACATCGGGGGAAGTTCTTTACCAAAAGAGTAGTAATGTGCTGGAACAGGCTGCCCAGAGAGGTTGTGGGTGCCCCAACCCTGGAGATGTTCAAGGTGAGTTTGGATAGGGCCCTAGGCAGCCTGGTCTCGTATTAGATATTGAGGTTGGTGGCCCTGCCTGTGGAGAGGGGATTGATGCTTGATGACCTTTGAGGTCCCATCCAACTCAAGCCATTCTGCGATTCTGTGATGCTATAAAGTCCCTCCGAACACCAACAAGTCTGTCTGGAACAAGCAGCCCTGTCATGTGTGGCAGCAGTCGTGCTGAAGTCCCACTCCTTTTTGCTCCCTTGGCAATGAAGTCCATATCAGCAAACACAGCTGTGTCTGCAGACAGACTTGAGCCACTCCTTCAGTCCTCAGAGCTGCACATCCTGACAAACTTACTGTATATGCAATGCATGCTTTCCCCAGGCAGCATGTTAGACACAGCAAAATGAGATCGGGTCCTCAATAGTTTTGGAAAATTGTTTTTGATCATACACTGTATGAGTAATTTACAGAGAAAAGCATAGGAAAGAATTGAGCAGGTGTTGTCCCACTGACTGTGCAGGCATGGAAAGAAAAGAGGTGGTAGGAGCAGCTTGGAAGAGGGCTGACTGCATCCTGCATAGTCTGCCCTCCCATCCGCCTCACAGAGCCTCCTTCATTTGACTGCAATATTTCCCAGCAGGTTTGATGCAAATGTATATGATAAGCAAGGGAGCAAGAGGGAACCTGGGGAAATAAACATGTTTAGCAGCTTGTGCTTTGGCACTGCATTCTTATTGTGCTTGTGCTACTTATTAACTAACAAGACATAGAAATATGGCTGTGCTTGAACAGTATCAACTACTCACGTTGAGTGATAACCAGGCGTGAGTCCAGCAAGTTGAGCGCTCTTCTGCTTGTGCCATTTCCTACCTTTTTGCTTCTCTTTGAACCGATGCTGTTACCTCTCTCTCTTTCTTATGCGCTTGTCCCTGCCTGTAGCAGACAGCAGTTACAGAGTTGCGAGTGGTGCCTGAAATAGGAAAATACTGCAAGAAAACTCTATTTAGAAGCTAAGAATATCTATTTTTTTCCTTTGATTTTTGTTTTTTTTTTTTTTTTTTTTTTTTTTTTTTTTTTTTTTTTGTGTGTGTGTGTGTCTTTTTTCCTTCAAAACATCCTTTGTAATCCTGAACATCACTGTGAAATGGATGCTGACAGTTCTCATTTACTTCAGAGAGGACTTCATCAAAGGAAATGTTGCGGTGTTCTTTCCCTCCCCTCTACACACATGCTTCTCTCCCCCCCCAGCTCACACAAACACTGTGGTTTCCTTTCCCATTCTCTTTTCTGTTCTGTGTCTGCAAGCACAGACAAGGAGCACAGCTCTTGGATGGGAATAGCTATGTTCCTCAAACACACACAGCTTGTACAGAGGTCTAGGGGACTCGGATTGGGCTCTGTTTCCTAGGGTAAGGAAGAAACTGAACGTTGAGACAATTTGTTTGAGAAAATCAGAAGGCACAGATGGAGAAGCCCGAAAACGTCCGTGTCCTGACTGGGGGTGAACTTTTGCAGACAAAGAAGTCACCCTTCATAAGAACCAGGTTTAGATAGTTTGAGATGGTCTGCTGTGAAGGAGAAAGGTAGTAAGGGATGCTAGCAATTCTAAGAACCGATCATCACATTACTTACGTGACATCAGATGGCATTTATCAGATAACAAGAACAATAGCACAATAAAGACCTGTTGCGTTTAAAGTTAAAGGAAAGAAAACAAACATAAAACACTGCTAGTCAATCTCTGATAGTAAAGTCAGGCGGATAGGCAGTGTACACCTCCCTCAATGCTCCATGCCCCACAAAGGACCTGCGTGCCCTGGCTGTCCCTGCTGCCTCCTGCAGCTGTCAGCAGGGCTTGGTGGGCAGGAGGAAGGGTGGCCTTGTGCAAGACACCTGTCTCACCCAGCACCACTGTTTTGTGACCACCTGCTATTTTTGTATTTGCAGGCCTTTCACTGTGGTTTCCTGGCTATTCCCTTAATTGTATTAATTTATATTTGCATAGAAAATCCAAGCTCAACTCATCTGTATCAATAATTCAGAACCTTCCCTTTCCTCTTCAAATAGCAAGCAGCTGTCCTGGATTCCTACTGCATCCAGTGCTTAGAATATGAATGTGGTGGCATCAGTTACTGCTGCAGTTCAGTAGCAGTTTCTGTCATATGTTTCAGCATTATTTATAACTTGATCACTATGCTTTCTAGACTCAGCCCATGCATCTTCCAGGAATGGACATCACGTTCACTTCTTGAAGAGGCTCTGAAATCAGCAGTAAGTATTCCCTTCGCCCTTCTCACACCCAACAAGCTTTCTTCTAGACAGCTTGCTTAACCCTTTCTGTTGCTATGACAAAGCTGAAGGAATTGTTACCCTCTTCCTCTGCACCAGGAGCACTCACTCCTCACTATACCTCCTGAACATCCCTGGAGCAGGCTCAGGCCACCTCATCTCAGAGGAATTCATTGTGATGTGCATTCATGGCAGTCATTTTACACTAGCAAAACAATACAAATACTAATGAATTCTGGGCTTGTTTTGAGGCAATCAAATAGGCTTTCCTGTTGGAGGATCAGAGAAGCCTGTGCAGCAGGAATTGACTGCAGTTTCTGAGTGCCTGAAAACTTTTAAAACCAGGCTTTTTGCCAATGGGAATATAACATAAGTTTTTATGATGACCAGGACAGCTGGAGTAAAAGTGATGGGCATGCCCTAAGGCTGCATCAGGCTTTTGAGACAATCTCTGCATTAACAGCAGAGGTGCACAATGGGGATCCCTGAAGAGGTGAAGCAGTAGTACTCCAAAGGGCATATCTGCATTCCTAAAATCATCAAGGTGCATGGACAGCCCACCTGTGTCTTCACCTATGGGAAACTTGCCAGTGACAGCAATCAAAGTGTTCCAAGTTGCCGAGCATCAAGGGAAATTCTGCCTTGTGAGCCCTGCCTGTTGCCCAGAGGGAAAAAGAGATTTTCAGCCCACATTTCATGCGCTCATATCATCATGGAAAGGACCCCCATCCTCCTTCACCCTCCAGCAAAGTCCTAAACTCCCTAAAGAAGTGGACACAGGGTGCAAGGGATAAAGCTTCTCTCTGATGCAGTTTTCAGCCCAGAAGAGCCATAAATGGAGGCAGTTTCACCTGGATCAGCCCCCAGGGAGGAGGCATACTGCCTTAGGCACAGTGCTGCCTTTGGTTCCTTCCCCAGCCCAAGGTCATCCCCGTGGTTAGCCCTCCTCCCTGGAGCTGCTCTGTCTGAAAAATAAGTGCCTCCGAGAGCGGTATGGCAGAACACTCCCACACACAGCTGCAGAGGGAGTTATTTAACAGCACGGATGTTATTAAGTGCAGACTGTAGAGCCCCTTCTCTTCCTGCAGTATAAAAAGCAGCATTACATCATGCCTGTACTGAGAAACACTCCTCCTTTAAGGATAGCATAGAGAGGTTATCTCGAAAAACAAGACAAAAATGCAAGGGTGCAGGCAGGTGGGCATAGACAAGGCCAGATCCTTCCACTACTGTGTTGACCTTGCTTGTGTTGTTCTTCTTCTCCCTGCCTGTGGGACATAACATCCTGGGGAGAGGAGAGGATGGGGGTTTGTGGTTCCCTATTTCTTCTGCTGCCCCTGAAGCAATGACAGAAACACCCATAAGAGTTCAGCATGATGGAAATGTTGTATCTCACCTGAGATGTTAAAGCCCTAAGGTGCCAAATGTCTCCTGGGAGCCTAAGAAGAGCCAAAGACCACGAGGTATGTCAACAGCATCTGAAAGGCACACAGAAAACAGGAACTATAATCAGTCCGGGCCAGATCACCAACCACAACCAAGGCAGTAGTTTCTCCCATGCTATGTGAAAGATCCTCAGATTTCATTTCTGCTCTCTGTGCTGATGATGCTGACGAGAGTTAGGATACATTTAATGCCAGGTGAAAAGTTTAAGACAATGCTACACAAGCGAACACTTGCAGGAGTCTGGCAGAGAAGATTTGCTTGCAGCAAAAAGGCAGACATTCATCTTGATATCTTTCCTGTCACCTACTGCTGCAAATACGTCCCTTTGTTGCTTTCTCTCCTCCTTCCCAAATAAGTATTTCACATAGGAAAAAAAGAATATAGAAAAATAAATTTGTTTCCAGCCCTATAATAGATGCACTTTTTTTTACTTCAGGATTGATCTCTTTCTGCATTGGTAAAAATTTACAGTCTACTTCCAGTATTTTGTCACACATTTCCACATTTTTCCATTCATGGGACAAATTATATCAATAAAAATCCAATTTGCTCTGCTGTATTTAGGGAACAACTCTTGTATGAGAGCTGATTCTCTGAGGTTCTCAGTTTCTCCTACAAAATGCTCTACAGCTTAACATCCTTCTTGGGAAGAACATCCTCAGAGTTGCCTGGGGGAGGATCAAGAATAAAGCATTTTCCATATAGCTTTGGACAAAAATTGATGTCCCATTAAATGCAGGTAGTTTAGAAGGGCAGTACTTGTGGTGCTCAATGAAGACCTACTTTTGATTGATTTAATGATATCAAATCACTGTCTGGTGATTACATTGAACAAATGGTATTAAATCTTTAAGAAGAAAATAACATTTAATTTTGGAAAAATAATAAAGGCAAAACATCTAAATCATTTGCTATAGCACTGTTATCTAGTAAAATATCCAGAATTTAGGTGTCATACATTAGCCTAGAATATTCATTTGTATGAAATCAACATACGGATGAGATGCATGCAAGCATTCTGCTCAGCATGAACCCCAAACACCCACCACAGCGCTAGATTAACTGCAATAACATGTTCCAAAAGGCAGATACACTGCAAAGCAAACTATACAACTCTTTAGTGCTCTTCGACATCCAGTAGGAGAAGGTACCATTGAACATTCCAAATACACCAAGTCTACAACAATGAATCACAAGAAAAAAACACGACCAGGTTGCCAGCAACAGTCAGATATTGCCACAGAAGGGAAAAGTCAGTGTCCAAGGAAGAATGGGCTCCGCATGGGCTGGCTGCTTCCTAGAGAACTGGAGTTATTTCTAGAAAAAGCGGATTGTAAGCAGGAGCTTTGCCCTGGAAAGTACCTATTTCTCTGAAGTAAAGTTATTGAGCACGCATGAGGAACGAACTAATTTTTTTTGGACAATAGGGAAATGCAAAACAAAATGAATTCAGTTCCCTACCTTTCCCACAGTAGATCAGAGACTTATTCCAATAGAACTGCCTCAGTTTCATGAAATAATGAACAAAGGAAAATCTGCACAATAAAGGATGCTTTTTTTCATGTGCTCCTAGCATATATGCTTTACTCTTTAACACTTTCTTCCTTTGACATTTATTTTGTAAAAGCAATAAAGTCTTGAAAATAAAGGACATCCTACCTCATGTCCTCTGCCACTGAAGCTTTCATGATAGATGTGATTTATCAGCTGAATGTATGGAGGATAATGCTGGCAACGTGGTCAGACCATGGGGGTCAAGCCCAACTCCAAAACAGAACAAAACTACACAACTCATTGCCTAAATCTTGGTATAGATCCAGGTAAAACAATCCAGTTCTCCATTCGTTATGGACATGGCCCTTCTCAGGTTGCTAGAGGACTGTATTCCCCTCAGGGATAGCTCACGGCTCCCCAGCTGTTCTACTGCCTCAAGAATGAGAATAAAATCACTCAAAGTGGCACACTGCAGTGAGAGCCAGCCAGCTCCTGCCAGCACTGACCCCCCTGACTAATCTGAGCCCGATCGATGTGAAAAAATCTTGTTCTTCTCTATCATCTGCTTGGTTGGAGGTATATAGGAAAAATCTGACTTGTTTCTGTGTTTTAAATATTGTCACACATGAAATGACTGCTTTTATTTTAGAACCTGAAGTGGCCAGCCTGTCCTTATTGAAACAGGTGCACTGTGGCTCACAGGTTGCATCAGATAAGTGTCCCTCTCGTGTCCATTCCTAAAGGCAAGTTGAGGAATTCTGGTTTACAGATCTAAGTAGTGTTTTACATTTAGCTCATTGGAGGGCAAATAACCACCAGGAAATAAAGAATCTGATCCATAAAAAATACGTGGCTGGGATCAGCACTGTGATTATTTCTCCTATTTCAGACAAATGGAGACCCAGAATATTCACCAGGTGACTCCTACTAATGATCACAAAACAAATCAGTGAGGTTTTGTGTTTTCCAGGGGCAGCTAAATTATTTGCCACTGAAGGTTTCCAGTGCCTAATAGATCTCAAAGCAAACCATGCAGGAGCCAGTCGGGAACCAGCAGCCAGGTGAGTTTTAAGTTTGATGGAAAATATTTTTCGCTACTGGATAGAGGGGAGTTACTAAATTAATTACTTCAAGTCACAGTCATACAATTAAATAATAAATGAAATAAAATACGTAAACAAAAAGCAGAAATCATTAATCTTTGCTTCACAACATAGAGAGAAAAAAGAAAAACACAATCTCAAACTAAGGCCAAAGTTTGGTGACAGAGCTCATTAATGCTGATAACTGAGCCTAACTCAGTGTAAGAACACTTTAAACACTTTATCTGTCTTACAGGTGTCTTACAGGTGGCAAATATGGGTACAGATCCTTCAAGTCACTTGATGCAGTCATGTAGAACATCTGAGGCTCTGCTCACCTTATCAAGTAGCATAGGTTTCTTGAAGAGTTGGAGCACTAAAGAACACTATGTGAAGACCAGAGGTCTATAATATTTTATGTGGTTTACAATACCCATGCAGGAAGCTCTTGCTATTAATTTACTTCAAGCCTGGATCCATAGAATCATAGAATGGCTTGGGTTGGAAGGGACCTCAAGGATTATCAAACTCCAACCCCACCTGCAGTAGGGGCCATCAACTTCCATATCTAATACTAGGCCAGGGTACCTGGGGCCCCATCCAATGGAGATCCACAGAGACAAACACATTAACAGACAGAGAGCATTATGTGCAAATCTTTAGTACGCTCCAAAAAGTTCGTGGGATCCAAGACTACTCCACGAGGGGAATAAAAACTCCAGTGAAGAGGAATGATAAGAAAATTGATATCAAAACATACTCCAGCTGTGCTCTAAAATGCTAATGCAGACTACATTGCATGTACTGATATAAACCAGGCTAATTCTGGTCCCATTTATATTATCTTCTCACTTCAAACCAGAAAAAGGTGTGCTGTGAGATGATTTGAGTGTTTCAGAAGTAGTAGCCAAGCCAGAAGTAGTCACTATTGCACTCAGTCAACTGTTACTACTGATTGCCTGAATAGGGGATTTTCCAAGTTCCATTCTTCATTCTTCTTCGGTACTTTTCTTCATGCCATAACCATTATCAGGACTATTTATAAAAGGATATGAAAGGTGCACTCCAAGGAAAAGAAGAACATCTTTTTCTTCTGATGATATGTTGCTTGAAAATGTGGGAACTTTTTTCCAACTAAAACCTCACTTCTTGTAATACTGGAAATGTCCTCAACCATCCTTAGAGTCCTACCTTCCCTCACGGAAGCATTTACTACCACATGCTATTGGGGGCTAAGGAAGCAGATGCTAAGGAAGGAGATGCTGAGACAGCAGTGACACTATGGTCAGTGGCAAGGTGAAGTGAAACCCAAGATCCAAACAGTACTCCAGAAACCCAGATCCAAACAGCTCCGTCCAAAACCAGTCTGACAACAGATCTGTGATGAAGCATGTATCAGAAATCTAGTTACATCTGTACTTACATTTTTCTTTCACGAATAAATGGCATGTTCCTTCTAAAAGAAACTTGCACAATTTAAAGACAAAGTCAGGGAGGAGTACCGAGTATGGCTAATATCACAGCGTTATGATGACTGTGCAAAAGAGGCCCTCTTTTCTTTCTATTCCTCCCAGATTCTGCCAGTATCAAAGGATCACCCAAGTGCTTTGTGCACATGCATTATTCAAGACATGCACTTTTTAATGAGAAATTTTACACAGAGAAAGCAGGCACTGGCAAGATGTACAATGTAAACAATACATAGAAAAGTTATCAGTATGTACATGGTGGTAATATTAGGCAATAAAGGTGCTACCACAATTGATTGATATCCCTTAATAATGCCTTTCAGTTTTCCTAAGGGAGGAAGAACAAAATGGAACTGAGACTTCCCAGTGTTAAGGATGGTATTTTGTAAGTTCATATTTCTTTACAGTCACTTTCTAGGAAAGGACTTTGCAATGAATGTAATCTTCTCTTAAAGAACCCTCCCAGTGTGCTTCCCTTTACAAAATGGCATTAGCTATTATTAAAATACATATTTATTCACATGGAATTGAAAACATTCTTATTTCATTAGGCTTCTACAAGTATATGGTAATAGTAAATGTATCGGGTCACTGCACTATCTGCATCATATTTATCTCCTTTTAGATTCTGCTTGCAAGCATAGGAATAGATTGGAGTAAAATCTATTTTAATACAACGCAAAACACAAAGCACTTCAAAATAAAATCATTCTTTTCCATCTGCTTTCTTTATGAGTTTTGCCTAAGGGTTTGATTTCATAAAAGCCAGACAGGAGTTCAGCAGCTTGTGCCATCCAGAGACTTTAAATGTGGGGATGGAGATTGTAAAGGTGGTTTGAGATTTCCAAGCTGAATGTTTGTGTTCATAAGAAAGAACCGCTTGCCCATAATGGCAAAGCTAAATTTGTGCAGAATCTGTACAGGAGGAAGAAAAAAATAATGTGATTCTATCAGCATAAACAGCAATATAATGAGCTGCTTGATGAA